GACACAGAAGCCACAAGAGGAAAACCAAGCTTTGACCTGGAGCTGGCAAGGCCCTGTCCCAGCTATCAGGGGCCCCCATGTCACCAGCAGACGATGCTAAGCTGGCAGCCTGAGCACAGACAGACGGAAAAGCCTGAAGCTACTTGGTAAGGCAAGATAAGGGCACTAGTCACCGAACTGGCACACTAAATACAATTACCTGGGGAAAGCACCACTGACACCAGTGAGTGCTCAGAGATTTGGGTTTGTGGCAGATGCCACTGCACAAACCCAGGGTTGGGGAACCTGTACACAGGAAGGCAAGAGACCAGCTTGCAGGTCTCACTGCAAGGGCATGTGAGAACTGCACCATGCCATCTGAAACAGGACCGAAGCTGGGTCCAGCTTGAGGGATCAGCTTCAGAGCAAGTGCCCCTCAACAGGGCTCCAAAACATCAGGTTTAATAACACCTAGTTAGAACTGTGATACTCTTGCAGCAGAGTTGAAGCCGAAATAACAGAAGTAAAAGGAGGCTGCAAATAAGCCCTCCCCCCTGGCTTGCCTGATGCAGCTTGTAAGAGCTCTTCCCTTTGGGTTTACCCACTGTGCAGCAGTTTTCAGTGCTTTCCCAGGTTGCCACAGGCCTCAGGGTCTCTGCACCAGATCCTTTGCCCCACTGTTCCCTGCCTTTCTCAGCATACCCAGTACCCAGCTGGTCCCAACCTGATGCTCTCCAGCAGCAACATGCCTTTTCCTCTCTTTGAAGTCTGCTCATAGGGAGGGAGGGATTTCCCTGTTCTGGGTCGACCCAGGTTGCCTTGACCTGAAAGCCCAGTAGTGGGAGGACACAAGAGCACCAGTGAGATGCATCACATCTGCTTGTTCTCATTTAGATTGACTTGCTCCTGCAAGGCTTCCTATTATGGCTGTCAGGGAAAGCTTATCGTGCATCCTCAGCCTGGCCTGGGGAAAGTCTTGGGCAAAACGTGCTGGCAGCTTTCCTCCCACTGCAGTGGTACACAGTGAGCCTGTGCATCCCTGCTCAGTGCTGCCAGCTCCAGGCCCCCCTGGAAGGGGGTACATCAGTGCAGGCTGCTCTCAACCACAGACCTGAGCAGGTTAGGTGCAGGATCTGCATCCAGTTTTGGCCAGGAGCAAGTCAGAGGGCAGAGGCCCTGTTCCTGCAGAGCCATAAAGCCATGCTAGTGGTGCGGGGTGGGAAGCAGGGACCGAGGAGCGTGCCGCCTCCACCAGCACATGGAGCAGCTCCAGCTCTGCATTCCTGAGCTGTTCTGCAATGTTTCTGCAGAGGCCCGTGGCCCCCACTGTCTCCACTGCTGAGGAATGAAACACATTTAGGGTCTGGAGCAGGGGAGTCTGTTCGCAGAGGGAAGGAGGTGGCAGAGGCACCCGTCTGTGCCATTGCCATCTATCCGGAAGCACCAGCAAAGCTGCAGAGCCCAAACAATGAGGAACACCCTGTCATGGAAAGGGTTTTCCAAGTACTTTATATGCAGGGCAGGCTGCTGTGGTCACTAGGACAACTTCTCTGTATCTAAAAATATTCTCAAGTTGAGCATAAAGTTGCTTTCCATCCCTCTGCAGGAAAAGGAGAACATGCCACTGCCAGGATAAGGTCAGAGACCACGGAGGAAGGGGAGCGAAGGACGCCAGACAGCAGACAGGAACTGAGAGGAGCCAGGCCATGTGCCACCATTTTTGCATCCTCCTCTTGCCCACCCAAAGCCACTCAAAATCAGTCACTGCACCACAGGCACCCCTTAGCACACCCTTCACAGAGGTCACCATGCTTTCCAGGAATCCACAGGAAGACGATAGCTCAAGCCTTCCCACTCCCAAACTCTTACAAAAAAAGCCAGAGCTCAGCAAGGAAGATGTTTGTGACATCGAGGAAGACCTCAGAAGAAAGGGAGATGGTTCACTTTAATTCCAGTATTCTGTATAAAAGGTTTGGGCTCCAGCAGCTGAACTTTGCTGACAGCAGTGTCTGAAGCAGAAATGCTCTCTGCTGCATAAGGACACCTCCTCAAACTCTGGAAAAGTTTGTCAGCAAACGTGGCAATTAATCACACAACATCTAGAAATCTGCTGCCTGCTGTGAGGGCACCAATGCAGGGTTCAGCTCTCCAAACCTCTCCCCACCAGGACCACGTGGGAAGGGAAAAACTGGACTAAACATAATGGCTGAGACAGCGTGGGAGCCTGGCAGTGCAAACCAGAAAAATAAAGCAAAAGGACACTGAAATTTAAATTGTCTCCCTGGATAGAACAAAATGAAAACCCTAAACAAACTAAGTCCCAATGAACACCCACCAAATTTCTGTTCCGGCTTGCCTCCAGAGCAAGCAAACCCGTTCGCAATCAGTTGTCAGTATGCAAAGGCAGATAAGGCACTAGAGCAGCAGGATTAACACACTTCTGCATTTTATTGACACACTTCTGCTGCGTGCAACCCTCTGAACCACATGCATGGTCCTGAGCCCATCCCAAAATGATGACGGGGTAGGTGGTGCCCTTCACAGGGACCCACCACTACCCCCAGGAGCTGTCACAGCTGCCCTTCATCTCGCCCACAACGGGAGAGCAAAACCGAGCCGGTGGTGGAGGTCTCCAGGCTCTGCCTAGAGGCAGGGTCAGTCGTGTTCAGGCAGCACCACGTCGGCCCAAGGAACCACTGCGTCAGTGCTGGGACCACTGACAGCGAGTTTTCCGTCACGTGACATGATGGCTATATTTGTATCGGCAGAGTTTAGTGCTGCAATAACGGTTACAGAGAAGGGTTTGCATCTTAACAGTCAAAAAAACGAAAACTCAACTGCGGCCTGCCAGAACACTCATGGAACGCTTCAGAACGCAATCTTCAAATACAACAATTTTGCTACTTTTAACATGCTCTTTCTAAGGGATATCCTGGATGAGGTTTGGGGATTGTTTGGGGGATTTTTTTATTTTTGTTTTGTTGTTGTTTGGGGTTTTTTTTAATGGTAATACCAGATTTCACTTGGGAAAGGCCTCACTCCAGAACATCCCTGGACCAGGAGCTGGCTACAGGAAGCTTTACCAGCTGCAAACAGCCTCAGTGCTGGGGTGTTACAGAGGCATGGTGCTGCCAGCCCAGTCAGCCCAACTGCCGGCACAGCCAGGCAGGTACCAGTCCACCAAAATGCAAGGCCTGCCAGCAGAGGCTTGGGTGCCACGGCATCTGCACTACAGCATGATCAACTGGGTCAAAAATTAAGCTGGTGCGAAGCTGGACTAGGCCCTGGCTGGGTTCTTCAGCACAGCACCAGTACATGCAGCCACAGAGAGCTCAGCCCTGCACTGATGGGAAGGCTGAGCCAGCAGCCCCAGCTGGTGATGGTGCACATGCAGCAGAGCCCAGTTCCTCTTTCCCAGCTGCATATCCACATTGGACAGGAAGACAGTTTCTTCCATCCACGGCCAAGCTTGCTCCTGGGGAGCATGACCAGCTGGCAAGGCCAGACACAGCCTCACAACTCTTACCCTGGGCTGAGGCAGGAGCATCCTCTTGCTGCTCCAGGGAGAGCAGCCCTGCTCTGTGTGGGAACTGGGCAGAGGACAGGCAGCTGGGCTGAAAGATGTCAGCCACAGCCTGCCTGCCTGCTCACACGTGCTGAGCTGAAGCAGCTCTGGCCATTAACTGCCAAGGACCCCAAAAGCAGGGTTTGAGGTGCAGGGGGTGCTCTCATGACCTCTGGAGACCACTAGGTGCCCTGATCCAGGCACCTACACTTCCTTGGGTAAGCAACTTGTCCAACACTGTGCTGCTGGACAGGCAGAAAGCAAGAGGAGTGTGGGAGGGTTTTGGGGTAATTTCTCCACTCTGTAGCCAGCAAAACTCAGTTCTGGAAAGGAGGGTGTTCCACAGATCCTCATTCCCTTCACCTCAGGAAGCATCAAATTCCTACTGCTGCCATTCAACAAGCAAGCTGTGTGGTTGGCTGGTACTCCTCACACACCATCACCAACTCATTTAGCACTCAGGGGGTTTAACCCCGTGGTCTGGGAGGTGAGGGTGTCCCACCCTTTACTGGGCAACTCACAGTCTCCGCCAAAGCTAAAGATCCCAAAAATACGTCCCCTCCCCTTCTCAGTAGCGAGGCTCGGGGAGAGAGAGAAGAGAGTAAACAATTATTGCTACCAAATATGGGTCTAACAGTCAGCGATGAAGCCACGGCAGAGGCATGTAGACATCCTGCCGGCAGATTCAAAGGGATGGGGAGCTTGCAGGGGTGCGGGCAGGACCCAACAGTGAACGGGCAGAGGATGAGGCAGGGTGTCCCTTGCCCCGTCAGCAGCAGCAGCTGGGACATGGTGGGGTCCCAGGCCTTTCCC